TGATGTAAGGGAAATTCGATAAAGATTTATCTTATGTACATTATTAATCTCACACACACATAAATTTACATTAAATTTCTAAACGATTTTTTTGTTAATTTATTATTATTATTATCATTTAACGTTCGATACGTGTAATTAAACAACTCTTAAATTTTTTTTTTTTTTTACTACTCAAAATTAACAATTTGAAAATGTTTATATATTTTGTTAACGTCGAATTGTTATTAACAATTAAAAAGATTTCGAAACAAATAATTATTGTAATTAATAATAATAATAATAATTAACTATTTTTCCTCTCGTTTGTTTAAAAAAATTATGTTTTCATTTATCAAACAAACAAACAAACACATAATTAATAATAATAATAATAAAATTGTTTATAATAAATATTTTTTATTAAATCGTTATTGAAATGTTATTTGTTAATTATTATTATAATTATTATTCGATTGATTATGTTAGTAATTATAAAAGCACAAAAGAAAAAAGGTACATAAATAAATAAATAAATAAATTTTTATTTGCACGGTTGATTTATTTTTGAGGTAAAATACAAAACAGGTAAATACGGGAAGAATCTATGAAGAATCAGAGTTTGAGAGAGAGAGAGAGAGAGAGCAAAAATTTATTTGCGCAAACGTGATTCAAATACTACAAAAACATCGATTCCCCCTTGGTTTTATATATATATATATTTACAAACGTATTTTTTAGTGAAACATAACTCTTCTTTGAGTTAATAATAATTGTCAATATAAAAAAAATAATTATTATTATTATTATTTATTTATTTATTAATTAATTAAATTATTAATTTATATATATATTTAAAAAAAAAATCGCTTGTTAAATTTTTTTTCGTTACGTACGAATGAATGTAAAATAGTAAAAACGGTTTTTTTTTTTTTTTAATGTTTTACCGGCAAAAATTTTATATCGCGTTAAGAAAAAAAATTTATTTATTTATTTATTTATTAATTAATTAAAAATTTGTAAAAAAAAAAAAATGTTAAAATAATAATTAAATTAAATTAATGGGAATGGAAATTAATTATTTTATTTATTTATCATTATTTAATTTATTATTAATTAAAGGTAAGAAAAACAATTATTTTTGTTTTCAAAATTTATTATTATTATTATTATTATTATGTGCGTGAGTGCGTGAGTGTATGAGTGTATAAACATGTTAATTAAAAGTAGTAGGGAAAAATAATAATAATAATAATTTTGATATATATAAAAAGCGGTTATTAAAAAAAAAAAGGGTAATAAATTTAAAAAGTTTAACCAACAATTTCTCCCCCCCCCCCGTCATTTTTATTAATAATAATAATAATAATAATTACAATTTTATTACTCTTTTATTTTTTTAACTTATTTTTTTTTATTAAGTATATATATATATACATATTAACTTTTGTATAAAAAATAAATTTATTTATTTATTAAATGGTTATTATTAAAAAAAAAAAATAAATAAATAAATATAATTAATTAATTAATTAATTAATTCGATACACATTATCGACATTTTATTTTATTTTTTTTTTTACATTTTATAATTAATATAATAAAAAACACAAAAAAAAATAAAACAATTAATTAATTTTTTAAAATAAAAAAAGAAAAATTTTCTTTCTTTTCTTTTTTGTTATAAACTCTTTAGAGTTTTACCATCCGGAAACCACTTTAGGGCTTTCTCTCTCTCTCTCTTTCTTTCTCGTTTATAATTTTCCTCTTTTTTTTTTTTTTTTTTTTTTTTAATTCACATGTAAAAACATGAAAAAATATTTTTTTTCCCTTTAAATTAAAATAATAATAATAATAATAATAATTTTGTATATTAAATACAATTATATTTTTCACATTCCATAAAATGTTCTAGAAATTTTTTCTCTTATTAAAGTAAAAAAAATATATACATTACATAACAAATGAATTTTTTTTTATTTTAATTTTACATAAATATTTTTTCATGTTTACATAATAATAATAATAATAATAATAAGAAAATTTTCCAAAAGAATTCACAAGTTATTAAAATAAATATATAATATATTAATTAATTAAATTTATTTTAATGCGATTTAATAAATTAAAAGTTTTTTTTTTTTTTTTTTTTCTAAAAAAAATAAGAAAGAATATTTAAGAATAATCTCGGGTTTAATATTAAAAAAAAAAAAGAGTTTTTGTTTATAAATTTAATAACAAATTATTGTTTATAAATTCTTATAATAGTTTGATAACGATACATTTACTAATATGTATATATATATATATATATATATATATATATAAACATTTCGGGAAAATTAAAGTTTCCTAATCAAAATTTATTATATTATGTATAATTTAAAATTGTCTTTTATTATATAATCATTTATTTCAATGTAATTTAGTATAAAAAAGAAAAAAAATTTTTGGGGTTTTATCCAAATGTCTTGGGTATATATATAAAATAGTCGTCCGAAATAAACAATTCAGATGAAGAGAAAAACCTGGTTTGAGGCATAAAATAAGACAGTCTTCGTATTCATTGGCGGTGCTATGGCAACCAAAAAATATATAAGGAATATAATTTTAAATCTTTATGCATGAATGTGAACATAAAAAGAGGCTTTGCGATGCGTAGAAAGAAAAATAAAATCATATTAAAAGAAAAAAGAGTACATAATAATAAAAAAAAAAAAAGATATATAT